TGCCGTTTTTTCGTGTCAGCGACGCGCTCAAGTTGAGCCTACTGTGCGCGCATCTTTTAATGCGATCCGAGTGTCCCGTCGTTCAAGTGAGTCAGTTGCCCAAGCGGCAGCGCGCTCGCCTACGATGCTGCAGGTTTGGGGTTCGATACTACTTCCGTGAATTACAATTTTGCAATTGATTATTTTGTTTTTTAATCGCTTCATCACAGCAAATTGTAAGTCACCTTGTAGACGTTGTGGTGCTGATTATATTTTTTTCCTTTTTTGTTACACACTCATTAAAAAAATAAAAAATACATAAAATTTAATTAGAATCATAACGTCTACAAGGTGACTTACAATTTGTTGTGATGAAGCGATTAAAAAACAAAATAATCAATTGCAAAACTGTAAGTCACGGAAGTAGTATCGAACCCCAAACCTGTAGCACCGTGGGCGAGCGCGCTACCGCTTGGGCAACTGACTCACTGGAACGTTGGGACACTCGGATCGCATTAAAAGATGCGCGCACAGTAGGCTCAACTTGAGCGCGTCGCTGACACGAAAAAACGGCAACTTCAAAAATTCATAACTCAAAAACGGCTGGGCATTGGCACCTAAAAAAAAATACGGTTTCTTATATTAACCTATTCTACCTCTCTGCCAAATTTGAACCCGATCTGAGGTGGACAATCGGTAGCCTCCCCTTGTCAGAGGCGGTCCTCCACCAGCACTGCGCTATCCGGTGCGTTTCTAATGATTATCATTGATAAAATCGACCGTATGAAGTAAAACATGACTGATTCTTCATCAGTAGATCCCCAGGAACACATACATACCAATTTTGGCCATTTTCATTGATGTCGATTTTCGGACTTTTTCGGCGCTAGATCGGCTGTTTTTCCCACTGTGCGAACGGTTCCGGAGTTATGATCGATTGAAGTTTCCGCTCAACGCGCGCCGACCGATTTTCGCGCGCAAAAAAGTCGGATTTGACTGTTATTAAATCAGATTGAATGTTCATACTGAGCAAAATGCATTATTAGGGACTCTTGAGGGTCGGTGAGTTCAGAAATTACAGATACTTCCAAAAAATTCACGTTTTTAAAATTACAGCTCCGTACGGGACCACTGAGCGGCCGGTCGGCGCTCAGTGGGCCTCTAAAATAGCGCTACGGAGCTGTAATTTTAAAAACGTGAATTTTTTGGAAGTATCTGTAATTTCTGAACTCACCGACCCTCAAGAGTCCCTAATAATGCATTTTGCTCAGTATGAACATTCAATCTGATTTAATAACAGTCAAATCCGACTTTTTTGCGCGCGAAAATCGGTCGGCGCGCGTTGAGCGGAAACTTCAATCGATCATAACTCCGGAACCGTTCGGTTCCCCAGCTTATACGACCACTCGTTGGATGCGGAAAAAGACGAGCAATTTAAAAAACTGGTTTTGGTTCAAATACAAAATTGTGCTTTTTCAGTCTAGTGTGTTTAAAAGAAATTGTTTTTCCTCAAAAACTGAAAAAAAGCACATAAGTTAAGTTACAAATTAAATCTTGGGATTTTGAACTTTAGAATCTTAAAGTATGCAATTTTAGACGATTTTTCGTCCAAACCGGGCTTCAATATCTTGTTTCGTTCGAAAGATATCGAGGTTCACAGGTTTTGNCCCCCCCCCCCCCTAGCGATCCCCCCACCCTAAATTTTTTGGGGGTCTGAAAATTTGGGGAAAGAAGCGCTCCTGTATTAGTAACTGATAGACGAAGTTTGAATAAATTTTAGTGGGGGGGGCGAAAAATGTCGTTTTTGCATCCGGCTCTTTCATGTGCAGAGAAGAATCCAATATCGGACCACTTTACGCCCAAAAATGATCCCTTAGAAAGGGGGACGAGGGCCCCCTCCATAGCTTCCCTTTGGTCAAAAATTGACGCAGATTCTCCGGGAAAAGATGATTTCCCAGGTAATCGACCCCACCTAAGAAACCATCTTTTTCCGGAGAATCTGCGTCAATTTTTGACCAATGGGAAATTATGGAGGGGACCGCTGTTCCCCTCTTTAATGGATCATCTGGATGGATGGATCTTTTGTTTACCTAATAAAGGTTTTTAACATTTAAACGTCCAAGGAATCCATTTTTGAATTCCATTTTGTTAAAAAAAATCATCGACTGACTCAATATTTGCATTTGAAAAGCGGCTGCCAATTCCTTGTGGGAAAATAAATTGTAAGTGATGTAAGGAATTGAGTGTAGTATGAGTATGAGTATGAGTGTAATAGTAAGTGAAAATACCAGGTTTGTCATGCGATGTGACGTAACAAGGGTACCGGATCTGTTACAGCGTAAAAGTGATCGTTTCGAATGGGCCGGTTCCAAAAATAGCTTTTTTGAGTTTGAGAGGTCATTTTAAGCTTTTTTAGAGGAGCCATCGTTTTTTTTCAGTAAAGGAGGGGTATCGATAAGGGCCTTTTTTGGCCCCCTCCTAGAATCTGGAAATTTATGCGGGTTTTCCGAGGTGACTCAGTGCAGTTTACGGAAATAATCATGATTTAGCCCATAGGCTCCTGGGTACGTGTTAAACGGTTGCCTAAACATGGGTCTGCAGGCGTATTTTAGCGAAAATTCGTGTTTTTCTATCAAACTGAGGCTTTTTTGACACCGAGCGCATCGTCTAACTAAAACGAGCTTTTGATATGTTATCAAGGAGGCTTTAGGACACATTTTAAGCCTAGTTTGGTTTTAGTTAGATGATGCGCTCATAGTTAAAAAAATTTTTTTCAAAAGTCGACATTTAAGGGTCATCCGAAAAAATCATAAGGGACACGTCTCTCCAACTGTATGCACGCTACATATATTATCGAGGGCAGTTATCAAGCCTTATTGTTAACCCCTTACAAGAAGATTTTCTTTAATTATAGCCAAAAAAAATCCTAACGACGTAATTCCCTTAGATTTTTGCGGATGTCCCTTAAACGTCGACTTTAGAAAAAGTTTTTTTTAACTATGAGCGCATCATTTAACTAAAACCAAACTAGGCTTAAAATGTGTCCTAAAGCCTCCTTGATAACATATCAAAAGCTCGTTTTAGTTAGACGATGCGCTCGATGTCAAAAAAGCCTCAGTGTGATAGAAAAACACGAATTTTCGCTAAAATACGCCTGCAGACCCATGTTTAGGCAACCGTTTAGCACGTGTCCACTGGCCCATAGGCTGAATCATGATTATTTCCGTAAACTACATTAAGTCAACTTGGAAAACTAGTATAAATTTTCAAATTTAAGTTGATGATATGCATTTAGTGAAAATATGCCTCCACTACTCCAAAATCCGTTATCTTCACAGCTGCTTGTATGGAAAATTCAATTTTATTTTGGACACAATTGATGGAAATCTCCTTGTAAGAGTCTAACAAGGCTTGATAACTGCCCTCGATAATATACGTAGCGTGCATACAGATTGAGTCATAATTAAAAAAAACTTTTTCAAAAGTCGACGTTTAAGGGTCATCCGAAAAAATCATAAGGGACACGTCTCTCCAACTGTATGCACGCTACATATATTATCAAGGGCAGTTATCAAGCCTCATTGTTAACCCCTTACAATAAGATTTTCTTTAATTTTAGCCAAAAAAAACCCTAACGGCGTAATTCCCTAAGATTTTTGAGGATGTCCCTTAAACGTCGATTTTTGTAAAAATTTTTTTAACTATGAGCGCATCATTTAACTAAAACCAAACCAGGCTTAAAATATGTCCTAAAGCCTCTTTGATAACATATCAAAAGCTCGTTTAAGTTAGACGATGCGCTCGGTGTCAAAAAAGCCTCAGTGTGATAGAAAAACACAAATTTTCGTTAAAATACGCCTGCAGACCTATGTTAAGGCAAACGTTTAACGTTCCAGTGGCCTATAGGCTGAATCATGATTATTTCCGTAAACTGCATTGAGTCAACTTGGAAAACCCGCATGAATTTCCAGATTCTAGGAGGGGGCCAAAAAACAAGGCGGATAAAGAATGGTGGTCGCATTTCGATTTTGGCTGCCATCTTGAAGCGTTGTGACGTCAGGAGGGTACGGGTTTTGCCGGGCAATCCGAGGTTGAGTCGGCCCCCCCGGCCTCGGCCAGCCCATGTACCCGATACCGTGTGACGTCCAGAGGGTACGAAATGCGACCACCATTCTTTATCCGCCTTGGCCAAAAAAGGCCCTTATCGATACCCCTCCTTTGCCATTGGAATCAGTTATCTCTTCGAAAATCCCCGCACCTTGCGACAAGCCCATTGAGTAATGCATTCTGCATACTTCTTTGAAGATGTTGGGGGAAAAAACTGTCATCAGCTACGTTCCTGGTGGCATGATAACACCTGTCTAGGGGGTAGATATGAAGGTATTTTAGATCCTCCTAATGCTTTCGCTTGATGAGACAAGCACATTCATCACCGCTATGAAATTCTATCCGTGATTTCACTTCTGCTCTTACAGAATTGCCCAAAAATCGTTAAGACATCTGCTGATTTTCCTTGTTTGGAGAATAAAATAAAAGGAGGAACTAAAACACTGTATTCCATATAGATATTGTTCTTCTTCACAGTAAAGAAGAGTAGGGTTGCGCAGCAAGCAGAGTTGGGCACGAATAATTCAGCAATTGCGGAAATTGGTGCAGCAACTCTAATGAGACGCTCGGTCCTTAGAATTCCCTACCTAATAAGATAGATTAACCCCCAAAATATTCTTCCGCACGACGATTCATCGGATGTTGCTGATTGACTAAATAATTCCCGAATAATTTTTTCCCAACTCAGGAAGAAAGTACTCTGCATGTGTTGTTAAAACCTCGAGCTTTGAAATTATCAATCAGGAAGTTGTTATGATGAACGTACAAGGAGTGATTGACACAGGAAAATATGCAAATGAAATGAGTTAATTTGGACATAAGAAATACCATTTTAGTACTAAAAATTAATACGAGCACTGGAGTTGAAAGAGGATGAGTATCAAGGAAGAAAAGTGACTTAGTGATGACCTTACCGACATCAGCATCAAATGGAGATGTGCCCCCAAATATCCCAAACATTATGAGCCAGATATCGTCGCACTAGATATTACCAACAAAGTAAAAATATTGGCTACAAAGCAGGTCCCTTTAATTAGAGTACCTTTATAGACAGAGTATGGCCATTCGTATCTTTTTACTACTGGAAAACTGTTCCGCTTTTTGATTGGTCAACGAGTTTTTAGGCTTCATGATGCTCTTAGGGCCGTAAATAAACAAACAAAATGGCGGCTCACCTTAACATCGATAAGAAGCTAAATTTCACAAAAATCTCAATTATGCGGCAGTAACAATTTAAATTAGCATATCTACGAATAGCACACGAAAAATACATGAAAACATTGTTAAATCGCCTTTCACCTTTATCACAGGAGGATGTAAGATGTGCATAACCTCAATCTTGCTTGCTGATAACAGCCATCTTGTTTGTTTATGTACGGCCCTAAGAACATCGTGTCAGCCTATTTTCACGCGACCAATGAAAAACCGGAACAGAAATGGCCATACTCTGTCTATAAAGGTACTCTACCTTTAATACGTAGCTCGTATCCATAGAATAATAAAGCTAGTCGTATCGTAGCCATGGACCAAGAGAATAAATAAAGACCCCCAACTCCGGTTAGCGCTGACATCAGCGCTCCCTGGCAGAGGGTGTAGTGAACTAAACCGATGATTGGGTCTTCCTGTTTATATTTCCATGCACCACCTATTTAGGCTTATCACTTATTATCACTCAGCAAGGCGGATAAAGAATGGTGGTCGCATTTCGATTTTGGCTGCCATCTTGAAGCGTTGTGACGTCAGAAGGGTACGGGTTATGCCGTGCAATCCGAGGTTGAGTCGGCCCCCCCGGCCTCGGCCAGCTCATGTACCCAAAGACATAAAGACGGAGCACTAAAAGCAAAAAATGAAGCTTCTAGAGCTTCTTTTCAATCACCTCTACTATTGGCTAGAGGATTGGCGGCGAAATCGGGACAAGTTTGAATTCAAATGTAGGGCGGGAACTAATAAATAAAATTGCGGAAACAAAGTATTTTAGGTTGATTTTTGCCCAAATTCAG